ACTTGGTTTGGACAGTAAACAATATCCTCACCCTTGTTTACTTTAGTTTGAAAGTTTACTTCATGCCAATAACTGGGCTTTCATGAAGGGCAGGGCTGGGGCTGGGCATGTGATAGGCATTCTCCCCAGCTGGCCTGCCATCTTTGAGTGGTACGCTGTCCAGTGTCCCCTCTTACAACGTGTCCCCTCCCACCTGCATTCACTCTGTCATCACCTTCATTACCTCTCTGCCTCACATTAGCTTTGGTAACCTCCTCCTTGCAGGCGCTCCCTGCCCTCCCCAGCCTGGGCCTCGCTAACGTCGCAAGCTCAGAGTCATCCTTTCCAAGTTGCTTCCCCCAACTGATCTCTGCTTATTTTTCATTGGTTATGAATATTCATGAAATACAAAGCTGATTGTCACCCCTCACACCCAAGATGTGAAGGCCAGATCCATACTGGCAGCATGCCCATTACCACAAACTGTGATTGTACCTTGTGTCCACCACCTAATTATCCCCAACCTCACTCCCCCTCCCCTGTTTCCCCCACTCCACTTTGTATTCCAAGATACGTACTCTCTCTCTACAAGTCCAACACACCCCTGTTAGGTGCAGTAACTTATCCTTCCCTCCGTTTCGTCACCTGCTGAGTCTGGGTGCGTACAGCACCTACTAAAGCACTTGGCAATCACTAACCACTTGCTGTTGTGATGTCTGTGCAATCGTTTAGTCAGGGGACACTTATCTACTAAATGCCATTACTGCCCCATGTGCCGGGGTCCCATAGTGAGGAGTTACCCAGTCACATAAAAATGAGATAATCCTAGGGATAAGTGAGATGAAGGAAACTGAGCAAGTGACGTGATAGGGATTAACAGACTGCCTCAGATGACTGGTCCAGGAAGGCTCTGTTAAAAGGGGATTTACATACGGGGACTTAAAGATTGACAAGGACCACTTCATAAGAAAAGGGAGGGAAAAGTTCATGCAGGAAGAAGGAACAGCGAGAGTATACACCAGGAGGGAAGAGAGGCCGCACGAAGTTCAGCGTGTTGTGGTTTGTGGGGGTGTGACAGGCACGGGCAGGAAGTGGCACAAGCACGTGGGGAAAGGGAGGTGGGAGGTCTTTGGATTTTATTCCAAGAGGACATCGGTGGGGTTTTGGCATGGTAGTTCTTGATTTATGTTTTCAAAACATCACTCAGTTCTGTGGAGAAGGGATCACCAAGGGACAAAGTGAATCAGAAAAGTCACCTGGGAGGCCAGCGTGACATTCTCCTGGAAGGGGAGCTGTCGACAGTGGGCTCAGCAAGAGGCATTTTGGAGGCAGAAGGGACAGTTCATAGAGATAGATTAGTTATGGATTATAAATAAATGTCACAAATCGGTACATCCCATCAGTGAGGACTGTGTATGTGTGGTCAGGATGATTTCCATATCACCGCCCATCAAACTATCACCAGAGTCCTCATGTGGACCAGCTTCAGGAGTCTGCCAGGCGCACCCATGCAGACACATGGACTCATCCCCTGTAAAGGGCAAAGCACGGCCAGCTTCAGTGCCCACCTGGCACCTGTCCACTTGCCCCTTTCTGGAAACTTCTGGCATCACCTCACCTTTGGCATCTGCTGCAGGTTCCCTGCATTGGAGGCTGAACAAGTGAGAAATACATCCTGTTGTTACAGAAACACACCTGGGGCCACCCTGGAGGCCACACACTTCAATTGATCCAGTGCCAGAGCTCCTCTTTTTCCCCACCCATGAGCACCCCTGACCCTCCACCCTCCACCCCCAGAACGAATCTGACTCAAGCTTTCCTGAGCCTCTGGGTGAATGCAGAGAACAAGTCCCAATGGTAGTGGCAGGGCCAGGAGGCACCCTGTCCTGGGTCCCCCAACATACCTCTGAGGACCTGCCTTCCCCTTCCTCAGGATGCAGCTGGGGCCTAACCTAGCATCACTGTCTTGGGGGGTAGGATGCATGTCCCCCTGTTTGTCATGGGGCCCAAGACCCTGTTCCAACGTTCTCATCAGCACAGATGCCATGGTGGCTCCCTCCTCCCCCTGAGATAGGAGGGGCTCAGTTTCCATGGGTTCAGTTTCAGGACACACCTCTGGGTTTCAAGCCACTCCCCAAGGTCTCAGGGCCCTCTGCTTTGCTCTTCCCTAGATAGAATTACTGTTGCTTGTCGGACCTATTTTTGGCACCAGCACAGGGGAAATTGAGATCACAAGTGGTGGACTTATGCAAATCCAGTGGCTGAGCATGTTCAGTAAAAGGAATTTATATAGGATTATATAACCCCAGTGACTGAGCATGCCCAGTGGAAGGGAGTTTATCCTTTGAATGACCTTCCACTGGAGGTGCTAAAGAGCACAGAATATTCTTGAATATGTTTAGTGCATGTGCTAGGATTTGACCAATGAAAATGCTCCAAAAAGAGACCAACCAAGCATGTGCAAGACTATATTACATAACGAGCAACCACCTCCTTAGCTGAATATTCATTAGACATCATGAATATGCATTAGATAGTGGAATTACAAAACCTGAATCCCAGCAGAAGGCAGGGATGCTGCTCACTTTCCTGGGGCCAACACGCAGTTCTCCGGCTGAGGTGCGTATATTTCCTTTTGTATCAAACTTACTTTCAGCAAGTGGCTGCTCACTCTCTTGAGCCATCCTGCACTCTGTACTGAACTTTAAGTATGTATTTCTTAGTTTTGTGTTAAACCTGGTGCAGGCCCTGCTCAGTCTCTGGAGCTAGGCTGCACTCTCTCTGTGAAATCTGCATTTCTTATTCATTACATACCTGTTCTCACTTTTTACTGTGACTCTGCTCTTAAATTTTTTCCTGTGGCAGAGTCAAAAACCTGGTAAAAGGATGGGGTGGGTTGAGGCCAGCCATCAGGACTCCCCAGACCCTTCCTCCGACATCACTCCCATCATGCACAGCACACGGCTCCTCCTGTGGTTCATCCACTTCTGTGTGCGGCATGATACTTCTGCACCCTTTCTTACATCACACATTTCAGTAAAAACTATTTGGGACTCTCCATAAACACACTGAGGTTTCCTGTCTCCAAGGCTGTGATCAGGGCACGTCCTCCATCAGGATGTTTTGTTTCTCCCTTCTCCTTCCCACATAGCTCAGTTCTAAACTTTCCCATCCCTCAGCCAAAACTCTTCTCCCTTCTGATCATCAGAGATTTTTTCCATAATTCTCACCCATATTTATCCCTTTACAGCTGTGTGTTAGATCATTGGCTGTGGGACTGACCTCCCTAGCAGACTGTGAGCTCCAGTCCTGCCTCACTCCTCTCTGTACCCATAGCGCTGCACACAGTACCCAGGGAAGTGATACACGCGTACTTCTGAATGTATGAATAAAAATAAAAAATGACCAGTCACCCTAATTAGGTTCTAATTCCTCTAGAACGTGAGAAATGTTTACTTTCTTTTTTAGTTTTTCTTATACTATTGATTCAAATACATTAGACAAGATGATGGCTATCGATAAAGTCATTAGCTTTTTTCCTATGATCAACCGCCCTGCAAAATATAATGTTTCTAAACTAGTACTTGTGTTCTTCAAAGGCAGCACAGTATTTTTATTAATATTTTTTGAGAACTAGGCTCTGTGACTCGTGCAAATTAAATTGCATCTTCTTGTGGACCAGTAGACCCAAGGCCTGAGACCCAACTGATGAGTAGTAGGTGGGGATTTGCGCTTCCTGCATGGGCTTTCTTTGGAAGGCATTTCTTTCCATCACACATGCCACTAGGTGCCAGTGTTGTTCTACCAAACTCACCCTCCAAAAGTGCAGGTGGTCCCCACTTTTATATGCCTAGTGTTCTTGAAAACTATGGCTTTAACAAGAAAGTAGAGGGGCAAATCCAATGGAGAGATCAACTGCTATAACTTCTGTTGGTGCAGGTTTGACATCATCACATTAAACAAATAAACAAAAAGATTGGCTAACAGGAAGTACAGGTCCTTACTAGGTACTATTATCTCAGTTTTGAGGCAAAAAGTAAAGAATGATCCTTGCTGAGATGCTCCTGACTTTGCAAAGCAAGCATGCTTGGCTGATGTTCATTGAGCAAATGCAAAATGAACTAAAAGCTAGTATTCAGTTTGTGATACCATTGCATAAGGAACTTTCCTCTTTCTCTCTCTCTTTTGTTTCTTTTTCTCTCTCTCTCTCAATATATGTATTTCTCTTTGAGTTCTCCAGTATAAACCTCTATAGATAGCAACTTAGAATATGAATAATTTGTTTCAGCCACCCTGCAAAAGTACGAATATCTTGTACCTGAATAACTATGTTGAAATACTTACTCTAATTATAATCAGTTAAAGGCAAGCTGATACCAAGCTTGCTTGTGTTTGTAATAAGTTATTTGGCTATGCTTTGTCCTTGTGTTGTTGCATGTGCAGAAAACTGTGTGATTATGACTGTAATCAGTTTGCCATTGACCATATTAGTCACAGGAGGTAAGTAACTCGTGATTAGTGCAGCTATGCTTTCCAGAGAAGATAGATAAATTAGGTGCAACATCGGGAGAAATGAAAGCAGAAACTTACCAATGTGTTTTTTTGTGTGCGCGTGTGCACGTGCACACGTGTACAAGAGATTTCATTTTAGCTACAGTATTTTTTTTTCTAATTTAGCAGCATAAAAACATATGTGTTCTGAAGGATAAAATGAACAGGTGAATGTTATGGGTCAAAATGTTAATTATTAGAAATAGCTGCTCATGACTTATTGAATTTCCAACAGAACAAAAAGGAGCACTTTGCCTTTTTGATTCAATATTCATTTCAGGACATTTCCTGTGTTAATAGTTATGTGGCAACAGGTTAGCACTGGGTTTTGCATGGTCCCTGTGATTCAAGGCACCTCTACAGAACAGCAGCAACAACTAAAAACAACAAAACATTTTTCAAATCCCTGCCTAATGCATCAGTACCAAGCAGAGCTGTTCACGTGGTATATATCTTTACATCTTTTACAGTAAGAGTGTGATGAAGAAGCTGAAAAACTACAGAGGGAAATTTTTCAAACAGCCCTGGAGGAGACAAGTTCCCAAATTTCAGAATTTCATTGATTCAGGAAAACTCTCGTTCTTATATCTTTGAATATTGTCTCTACCAATTCTTTCTATTCTCTTCTCTGGAATCTAATAAAGTTTATATTACACTTCCTCATTTTACTTTTCATTTGTCTTTACTTTTTTTCAACAATATTTCAATATATGTATGTATATTCCAGAAGTAATTATGAACAAAACATTTGTAAATATGTCATAATTTATTCAAGTTTTGTCTGCAAATAAAATCAACATAATAATAATGACTAATTTTGTGGGGAGCAAAATAAGAAGGAGAAATGCTGAACAAAAATGCCACAGCAAAGGAGAAAGCGAGGAGGAGAAGGACACATTCTGGTTTGGGTGCTGTGATGTGAGCCCGCAGAGACGGTGGCTGCCGACAGATATCCTATCACGTCTGAACATGCCACAGTTGGTTTAATTATTCACTTGTTGAAGAACATGTGGGCTGTTTCTAGTTTGGGGGCAGTGTTTGTTTGGCCATTGTCCTCTGCAGTCCCTGAGTCTCTGTGCTGGAAAGGGGCGTTTCAGTCTCTCGGAGACAAAGGCCACCTGTGGTAGACCCCTCTGGTAGGACGGAGGGTTCCCTGGCTGCTAGTTGTTAGAAGGGCTCCTTTTCGATCTCCCTTGCTGGAGGTGACAGAGATCTTGGTTCAGTCCAAGGTAATACGAGCACACCTGAGTTGCTGTTTTGGGGTCAGGAAGTGCTGGGTCTGGGTTGCCTTCTTATGTCGGGTGGGATAACAGAGACACCTACTGCCTGCGGTACTGAGCTCCATTCCTGGGGTCCCTAGTGAGCAACGGGTTCTTCTTCCTTTTACGGCTTCCTAGGCTTCTCCTTTCATTATGTCTTACTTTAGTTCCAGGGTCTATAGTTGTATTTACTAGGGACAAAAGGATTTTCACCAACTTGTTTGGATCATTAGCCACCTGTTAATAAGTTTTTAAATAAATAGATTTAATAATTTCCTTCAGAAACATCATTTTATGATACTTATTGGAGGTGACATAGAAAACCTCCAGGGACAAATAACCATTCTGTTAATTGAAATAACATTTATGAGAGCCACAGAAAACAACAAGAGTTGCATTTGTTAAGTGAGTTGTATCAAATATTCAAGGAATATAAAATGTGCATTTTACATATGCCTTTCCAGTGAATAAAAAATAAGAGATACTCTCAAAGCAATTTTGAGTGTGGTACAATTGTAATATAAATCCCAAATTTAGGTATGTGAAAAAGAAAAACTACAGATCAAAATTATTTATGGGCATGGATGGAAATATCCTAAAAGAATTTCAGTAAACTTCAGCCAGCAATACATTAAAAAGATAAAATCCAAGTTGGGTTCCTCCCAGGAATGCAGGACTGATTCCAGATTAGACAGTCTATTCCTGTGATTCTCTACTTTGAAGATTAAAAAGAAAGACCATGTGATTTTTACAATTTATGCAAAAAAAAAAAAGCTTTTGATATAGAAATGCTAGAAACCAGTGTAACAAGATGTAGATACCTTATTAACAACATCTTGTTATACTGGTTAATAAAATATCAACATGAGAAACTCTGCTGCTTTCCAAAAAAGGTACTAAACCACATGGAGTTAATGATATTTACGCACTCTTTAGTCCCTTCACCTACAAAAAATGTAAATTTTCACAGCACAGGCTTCCATGTGCCTTGACATAGAGGAAAAC